GGAGGAACTCGGGGCCAGGACCAGGGGCGCGGGGTGCACCAGAAAACCGGCCAGGGGTTGGAGGGATACTCGCTTTCTCGGTTCGCCCTCGGACCGAGCTTATAAAGAGCCCCAGGGGCGGGGAGAAGGCGGAGCGGAGGCGGGGAGGGGGCGTGGCATCTCTCCTGGCACCCCGCGCCCGGCAGGTGCCCCCGCCTCCGCCCCGCCCCCGCAGCCAGAACTGCTTTCGAAGAAGCCGGAACAGAAGTCCCCAAAGTTGCTGCGGGAGGAGGAGACGCCTGGCCGCGGGCCGAGTCTGGGAGAGGGCCGGTCCGTCTAGTAGCCCTCGTGCTTCTCACCCGCTCACCTCTGCGCCCCCACACGCGCTCCCCGGCCTCTGAACCGCCGCTCCCAGGTGAACACAGCCAGCTCACACTTGCTTGGGACACCTGAGGACACGCACAACCTGCTTTCCAAGCGCCGGGCACTGACAGCNTGGGGGAAGCTCGATGACCACCCCGGTTCTTGGGAGTCCTTGCTCTGTCTTCCCCTTTCCAGCGCCCCCCCCCTCCTGCCACACAAGTTTATGTGTTTGTGGGTGCTCGTGGGAGTCACAGGGAGCCAGTAGGTTTCCCATTACCTCCAGCCCATCCTCCTACCCCAGGGACTCCAAGAGCCAGGCCAATGGGGACACCTGGGGAGTCAGTTAGGGCAGCCCCTAGGACAGGGTGATGCCTACCCTGTTCCCATGACTCCCTAGGGGATAAAATAAGCGATGTGAGTGTGGGTGCATTTCCCTCCCTGTGTGTATGAAGGTTTGTGTTTGTGTGTGGCCTGGCGGCCCCCCACCCTGCCCACCCCCGTGTCTGGCACCTTGTGCTTGGCATTCATGCCGGGGCTCTGCCAGGCACTAGGAGCTGGTGCCAGTACCTGGCTGCCAGACCCTATGCTAAGGGCAGTAGGTGCAGCCCATGGCAGAGGGGCTCCCTGCCTCCTGTGGGCTCCTGGGCCTGGCCCAGGGTCTCATCCATTTCTGCAGTAGGTCCTGGACCCCTCCCAGCTCTGTTGCCCAGTCTATATTTTAGGTGCCCAGCCTGTTCCAAGGCATACCTCCTCCAAAACCTTTTCTGCCACCCAGTCATAGCCCCCTGGTGGACCAGGAGAGTCTCAGTGAGGGGGCTAGGAGCCAGACCCATCTAAGGGGACAGGCTTTGGGTGGACGATCCATTTCCTGCCTAGAGTACCCTGGTGTCCCAACCTATTTCTCCTATAAGTACAGATGACAGACTGGCCCTGGCCTTGGGAGTGAGGACTTGCTTGGAGAGGGGGGGTGTGCCTGACCTTGGCTACATGACCTTGTGTGCCTGTATTTGTATTCACTCAAGTCCATGGGCCCCATGGCTTGTCTGTGCACATACGGAATGTCTCTCCCTGTGCCATGACTCTGTAAGTATATTCGTATGTATTGTGTGTGTTTCCAGTAACTATTTCTTCTTTGGCCTGGGTCATCCTTTGGAAACTCAGGGAAACCTTTTTTCTCCAAATCTGTAGACTTCTGTTACCCTGACTCTATGGCCCAGACCCAGAGGTAGGCACAGGCCTGGTTCCCTGATCTGAGTTGTACACCCTGGATTGGTGGGACCCCCCCCCCC